CAACCCCCCCCCCCCCCCCCCAACTCCACCTTCCCACAATCCTATCTAACGTCCATCTGTCCATCGCATTACCTTCTCATCCATCTGGTGCTAACCTGTCGTCCTCTCTCTGTCTCCATCTTTCTCCCTTCGTTCTCCAGGCTTTGTGAGCTTTGATAACCCAGGCAGCGCTCAGGCCGCCATCCAGTCCATGAACGGCTTTCAGATCGGCATGAAGAGACTCAAAGTGCAGCTGAAGAGGCCAAAGGACGCCAACCGCCCATATTAGCCCCGTCCCTCCCCCCAGCCACCCCTGACCCTGGGGGTGAAGGCCGCCGCTGCACACAGGGAACGATAGGTTAGCCAAATCACCTTGGAGCCAAAAGACACAAAGATACACACATACTGACACATCTCTAGTCTGGGGCAGGGCTGTGACGGAAGGAGAAAGATTAGTCGTTTCCATGTATCTCAGATCATCTCACATCTCCTCATCTAAATGAAGATGGAAAATCAATGCTGTGTCATTAATTTACCCTGCTGATGCCTTTTAACTGGGCCAGGCTATTATCTACTTACACAGCTAGTGAGGCATCTCACACAGTACGGCTCCTGCACATCTCAGCACTGACCACATACATTAAACCCTTTTCCAGATACACTGCAAAAATCATTTTGCTTATTTCTGTCGTTTTACAGCAAAATAGCTAAACATCATTATAACAATATAAAGAATCAAAACGTCAGACAATGTCTAAATTTGATTTTTTTATTATTAAAATATATATGAAGTTTATTTGCAAAAACAGATCACTACTTTTTCAAAAATCATGTTTTTCCATTATGTTATGTTTTTATTGTGTTTTGTGTTAGTTAACTGTATTTTTACTTGTTTTTTAACCTAATCAAAATAACCCAACTGCAGTTTGAGATTAATTGGAATGCACAATGAAAAACATGATTTTTGAAAATTGTTCAAAACTGAGCTCTCTGCTTTTGCAAATGAACTCTTCATATATTTTTGCTGACATATATGTGTGTGTGTGTGTGTGTGTGTGTGCGTGTGTGTGTGCAGTTTTGTTGAATAGCTTGATTAATACAAATATTTTGTATTTATTGCCCATTTTCCCAGAAGAGAAAAAATTTATATAATTATATAAATAATATTATAATACATTAAATATTATACTTATATTTATTAATAATTAACAAAATAATAAGCAATAATTAATATAAACATTATTTTTAGTATAGTAGCTATTATTTTCTGAGAAATTAAAAATAATTATATCTATTATATTATAATTATAATATATATATATAATTATATCTATTATATTATAATAAATTAAATAATACAATTGACTAATTAATTAGTTGCATTAATTAGCAAATAAACCCATAATTACTATAAAAAATTACGTAATAATTAATTGTATTAATAATTATAAAAAATAAGCAATTAATATAAAAATTATTAACTTTAGTATAGTAGCTCTTTATGCAAAATTATGATTTTTGGACCATTTTGAAAAATGAAAAATAATTATATTATGTAATTATATCTATTATATTATAATAAATTAAATAATATAATTAACTAATTAATTAATTGCATGAATAATTATGAACAAATAAAACCATAATTACTATAAAACATTATTAAAAAAATGTTTTTAATGTTTGTCAAATGTTTAATACAGCAGCAACAGATGGACTAAGCTAACAAGCATAGATTAAAAGCCACCATATGTGGTCTTTAAAGTCACAATGAAACAGCACATCAGCAGACAAGTGTGATGTTTTCACCAGAAGATCCAGTTATGACAATGTGATTAAACATTATAAGGTCAAAAAAAATGAATGAATAAATTAAAACACGTGCATGACTAGATGAGATGAATTTTCATTTCATACCTTTAAATGCTTCTGTTCTTTTTGTGTTTCCTTCCTAGGTTTTGTAGAGCTGGAACACATGTTGATAACATGCCAAATGTATTTGAAAACACAACAGATCAAGATCATCGGGGCTGGGGATACAATAGAGCTGAAGCGGGACATGAGGAGGACGTAGCTGCGTGATATACCACCACCAGGCTCAATGGACCTTTTTGGACTTCAGTGTTTAACTCAGGGGAGCCGCGGTGTTACTGGACCATACCGTACTCCCTTCTCCGAACCCCCGAGCCCTTATTTTGCAGGACCACAGGACACACTACTGAAGACCAACACAATATATATATATATATATATATATATTTAAAAAAAGAAAAAGAAAAACAATGTAAGCCCTTAAATGGCTCCGAATCTATGAATAAGTAGTATGGAAAAAACACTTTTTAAAACTAAGATAGACTTTTAGATGGGAATCATGTAATATTGAACACGTCTTTGGGAAAACTTTTTAAAGAACTGTTTTAGAAACCAACAAAACGGATTAAAAAAAGAACAAGAACTTGAAAGACAGAACTTTTTGGAAGGATGTGACAATTCAGGACAAGAACTTGCTTCGACTCGGGATGGCCAACTTTTTTTCTTGGAGTGCCTGTCCGTTTCCAGGGGCAACGGCTGCCACAAACCGCAGCCTCCGTCCGCTGGGAGACTTACCTGTCATTCCTTAGTTGTGTAGGGACCAAATGACCAAACCTTTTTATCACAAATGAAACAGAAAAAAAAAAAAAAAAAGACTCATACCTGTAACATAATCGGACCACTGCATCTCTTGCTGTGCCAATCGGTTTAAGAGTTGTATTTAAAAAAAAAAAAAAAAAAAAAGGATATATGTATAAAAAGAACATATATGACTATATGCATAAATGCATACATATAGATTGCTGATATGCTTTTGAATACTGGCAGAACTATTTCCGATGGCCCATTGAGGCCGCTCACTTCGCTAGTTTACAATTACTGCTCAAAATGAAAAATATTTATTTTTATTTCTCTTCTAGTTTTCTCTGTGGTGAGAGAAAGGGTGCATGGGAAGGGTTGTTCCATAATGCAGCCTTACCTTTTCTATCTTATGTCCCGACCTTGTAGTTAAGAGACCAGAGGTTTGAGATAAACAGTCCTGTTTATATATACCGTACATACAATATGTATATGTATAGCAGACGTTCAAGCAATATGTATTCATATTTATGCACATGTACAGCATATATATGGATACATACGATATTAATCCCAAAACCCATATATGTATTTATATGCATATATTTTATATATGTGTGTGTATATATAGAAACCGACTATTCAATATGTAGAGCTGTAAGGTTTTTTTTTTTTTTGTAGATTTAAGCTGGAGTTTGAAACCACTGCTCTGCTTTGGACTTTTACCACTGGGAAGAATCTCAAATCGGCAGCTGCAATCTGCAGGCATTCCTCTCGATCCGATATAACGTTCCTTATCCGCCAACACAGACACACACACACACACACACAAGGGTAGGAAAACTGATTCCGTTTGTGTATATATGTGTATATGCTACTTACAAATGCAAAAAGGCCTCCTCTCGTAAGAGAGTTTAAAGAGAATCAGGATCATTACGAACTAGTACAGAATGCGGACATATCTGCCTCCCGCCTCTGCAAACATTCGCAAACAAACGACGTTTTCATTCGAACAGAGCGCTGGCTTTAAAAACGAACGCCTGGCGGTTTTTCTTACTTCGATCGCCTTGTTCGCGCATGCGCCGTCGAATCGTCAGCAGTGCGTCCGTGCACCTGGCAGCACTGTGCTACGACACCGCTAGCAGCCATTCATTATTATTATGATGTCAAAACAACAGAAACACTCTTCTTCTTTACAAAATCAAAAAGACAAAAAAAGAAAACTACTATAGCTACAGCTAACAGCGAAGCCTTCAAATATCTGTTGACATGACAAACCTGTGCAGCTTGACACCGCCATTTACCGATTTACACCCACTCGACGTTCTGCTTACGGTTACAATGAAGTGGGCATTATGTAGGTTTTGCACAAGTATCGTCAGAATCCGCATCACATCACGTGTTTACATGTGCTGCTTCAGTGTTCAGACAGATTCGAGAGGAGTTTTCCATGTTTGAGGATGGAACGCGAGTTTTTGAATTTCTTGTTATTGCAAATTAAGGACTTTAACGATTTTTGGTTATGCTTTGCAACTGACCTATTATACAAGATGGCACTATTGTAAATATATGATAATTCCAGAGCTGGCTAATCAGCTTTACCGAGGAGTAAAGCGTCTGTACAGTGGGGGGCTGGGAAGCAGTAGTTAGTTCACCTCATTTCGAAGGGGAATCCAGTTCTGAATCGACGCGTCGTCAGACGGGTTCCGAGAATGTTGTATTTTGCCTTCTAGATCTTTCCGACACATGATCATTCAGGTATTCCAGGATCTTTTGCAAGGATATGCATTCCGTCTGTTGGATTTCAGTGTCACCTGTCTTTCTCTCTCTTTCGGTCTTTCTCAGCATCTGTCTCTCACGCTCATCATCTTCCTCCGTTTCTCAGCTGCAACTGTTTACATAGCAATCTGGAAATGTAGAGTTGACAAAACCGACAAGACAGAACAGAAATGTTATTATAAATATATATAAGTATATACATGAACTACTGAATATACTGTAAATGTTTTTTTTTCTTCTCTTTTTTGCTCTGTTCCTCTGTATATAGGTTTGCATAATTTATAGTATTTTACTTCTATCTAGAAGGACTGGATGACTAAGAAAATTGATAGACAAAAATGAAACACTGAATTCAAACAGCTAAACTCTAGTCCTTGGAGATGCAGTATGGTTGTAAGGTATTTAATTATGGAACATAAGAGCCAATCAGATTTGATCCGAACATTAATGTCACTTTCAGAACTGCTGCCAACATGCTTATTTATTTGCCTATTTATGTATTCATTCATTCTTTTTTTTTCTTCAAATGTCATTTAAATTATTTTTTTCCATTTTGAAGTACTAATATATGTACTTTTATCATTTCAACGGTTGTAATTTTTATGTTTGTAACGCACCGAATATCATTTTGTCATTTAAACTGCTTTTTTTTATATATATTTTTACATGTTTTTGTATTGTGAGACACAATGGAACAATGCAACTGGCAGAATCAGGGTAATCCTTTATGGAGAATGTAGAACTCTTGAAGGACTGGTGTCAAAAGTTTTTGCTGCACCTCTTAGAACTGTCTGCAGTTTTCTTCTGTTCTGCGATTCCATGCATCTGTCAGAACTCCGATTTGCGTCACTGCTTTTTCAAACACATTGGGGGAAAAAAGGAAGAAAAACTGCACTAATCCATCAGACTCTCAGCAACTCTGGTTTTATAGCCATTCTTCATTAGCACTAACTGTCTTCAACTCGTCAGAACTTACAGAAACAATGCAGTAAAATGGGGTTTAAAAAAAAGAGAAAAATACCAACCAAAAAAAAAAAAAAAGATTTTCAGACATTTTGAGCACAGTTGAGTGTGCTGGGTGGTATCTGTGGATTTTTGCCAAGCCTATCACAAAGAGATTGAGCTGTATTAGCAGTCGGAGTGCTGCCGCAGCTCCTGCCCTGTTCTCAACTCCACGTTTCTCTGGTCCCTAGACTCTCTTTTGTAATTTTACTGAATGACGCGTTTCCGCTTAAGCCCAGTAATAAAGCACAGTGTAGAATAAAGCAGCATTATGCTTGTCCCATTTCCTGCTGTATGTCTATACAAGCCTTTTTATGAGTTGTTTTTATCTCTTTCTCTCTTTTTATGGATTTGTGGCACGACTGATGTACTCTGAAACCACTTCAAAGTCGGAGGGTTTACACACACACACACGGGTGCCTCTCTGAAACTTTCTTTACAACACTTCAGATCAAATCAGACCAATAGCCCTGGAGCAATGTTTGGCTGAATCCCATTGCATATACTGATGCTCCCACATCGAGTTTGAAGTATCAAAGCATATATGCAGTGTATATTGGAAGAGCAGGGGAATAGGAAAGTGAGGGGACACATTAAAAATCATGCTACACCCCCTGTGGAAAAAAATATATTTGTTAATATATGCATAAAATTCAATGACTCATGAATATTGTGGAAAACACAGTGCTGACTAGAAATGCATCTTTCTGACTAGTCACTGTTATGAGAATTTCTCATTTCATCAGCTGACAGTGGGATTATGCCTTACAGATCACAGCAACTGTTCTTCAGAAGCTCTTTAAACATATATGTTGCCAAGTTAGTTCCTTGGAAAGCCTGTGGACTTTAATGGTGCTGCTGCCCAACCATCTGTGACTGAATAAACAACACCATTTATTAATAAACATTTTATTAAGGCAAAAATAAACCTTGAATACGTCAATAGCGCAAAAAAAAAAAAGTTAAAAATGAAGACCATAATTATTTCAAGACACTGAAGCGATTTAAAAGGCAGAATTAAGAGCACATGAATAATTAATGATCATTCAAATTCAATTATTCCTACAATCAATCTGAGTCGCCATTATAACCCTTCAACAGATGAAAAAGATGTCTTCTAAGATCTCACTCTCCTCCAGGTCTTGCAGAGAGGACCGATTGGGGCCACAAGGAGAGAGAAGAGTCTTCTGAAAGGACTGAGGGGCGACGAAACCCCTCCGGGATGAGGGGTTGATTCGGTACCTTTCTGTGTTGGATACGGGGCTGATAATGTCCAACAGCTCAATCAAAGAGTCATCCAACCTAACAATGAAAAAAAAAACATCACTCAGCGAAAATGTCATAGAATTGTTTTATGAACTAAAACGGAAGTGGACAAATGTGATATAAATAAAAGCATGAAAATGTACATAGCACTCGGAATGCTGTACATCCTCAGACTCCCCTACATAAAAACAACATTGTTGCATCTGAATAGATGACAGAGTTCACAGGCTGTGAAACATGTGGCCTTAGGGTGCATATGAAGAACAAGTCAGCTTGTTTTTTCCTAGTTTGGAAGGAAAACTGAGAGCCGAGTGAGGAGATAAATAAATAAAAGAATAGCGCAAAAAAAAAAAAGTTAAAAATGAAGACCATAATTATTTCAAGACACTGAAGCGATTTAAAAGGCAGAATTAAGAGCACATGAATAATTAATGATCATTCAAATTCAATTATTCCTACAATCAATCTGAGTCGCCATTATAACCCTTCAACAGATGAAAAAGATGTCTTCTAAGATCTCACTCTCCTCCAGGTCTTGCAGAGAGGACCGATTGGGGCCACAAGGAGAGAGAAGAGTCTTCTGAAAGGACTGAGGGGCGACGAAACCCCTCCGGGATGAGGGGTTGATTCGGTACCTTTCTGTGTTGGATACGGGGCTGATAATGTCCAACAGCTCAATCAAAGAGTCATCCAACCTAACAATGAAAAAAAAAACATCACTCAGCGAAAATGTCATAGAATTGTTTTATGAACTAAAACGGAAGTGGACAAATGTGATATAAATAAAAGCATGAAAATGTACATAGCACTCGGAATGCTGTACATCCTCAGACTCCCCTACATAAAAACAACATTGTTGCATCTGAATAGACGACAGAGTTCACAGGCTGTGAAACATGTGGCCTTAGGGTGCATATGAAGAACAAGTCAGCTTGTTTTTTCCTAGTTTGGAAGGAAAACTGAGAGCCGAGTGAGGAGATAAATAAATAAACAAAGATTAAGCTAATAAAGATTCAACCCCTCAGTCGAGGTGCTTAATAAATTATTCATTGAGTACAGACGCGCACATTTCAGATATAAAACATGAATTCTTAAAGCACGCTCCACTGATGCTGATAACATAATTCACTGCTCATTCTAAACAGCATTGATTTGCATCCATGCAGCAGAGGGGATGAGTGGGTATTCATACAGATGTATGTGTGCATGTGTGTGTGTGTGTGTCTGAGGGATCTCAGCTCCCATGAGAGGCAGAAAACGGTGTCATCCACTGAGTGCCTCTGACATATGAAAGCAGTATTTGCTTCACAACCATGATAGCTGTGATTATCCAGGACGCTGAGATGCATGCCATCCACTATTTCCTTGGTGTCTGACACGTTTTTGGTCTGAAATCATGAAAGTATTGGCTATACCTGAAAATATTTCCACAGAAAGGTAAATAGAAATTAAAGGTTGTCTGAACTTCAAACTTCCATCCTTCTCAGGAAACCCATTAGCTCTGTTCTAAAGCTCTGCCATCTAGGACAACATCCTTTCCAAGATGGAACCTCAAAAGTGAATTATTTGGAACAATTAATATAGACAACAACTCCTCACGTACTGCAAGACTCGATTCACAATTTATTCCAGTAGAGTATAACGGTAGCATGTTGCTTATCTAAACGTGAAGGATAAAATGGTTATTTTAAGATTGACCTATTTATATGTCAGTAATGAATGAAATCTATGCATATAAATCTCATCTTCTCCATTTTGGATTAATTTTTTTCACTAAGCTTGGCGCAATGCTTTTTGGTACTGCCTTAACCAGAAAATATCTTGAATTTTGTCAAGTAATATTAAGATATTAACGCTGCCTACCTTTTTGGCTAACCTTATGTTGAGAAGAGTCTCTATGGTGCTTTAAAATTATGTTTTAAACATCAGTGGCAGCACACTAGATTTTGACTAACAGTGACTATATCAACATAAAGCAATATTGTTGATGAAAAAAGATGAGCCGAAACTAGATGAGGCAAAATAAACTAATCGTATGAGTGGACTTTCTCTTCATTTGTGCTTATAGATAAAAGTGCAATAATTCATGACAATAATCATGAACAGTAATTGTGATTAAACATTTGAGCAAAATAATTGGGATTAACACTTTAAGCATTATGCAGCAAGAATAAAATACAAGTATTCTAGACAAAAATGTTCTGAAATTCATTAAAAATAAACCAGGATACACTCTTAAAACTAAAGGTGCTTCACGATGCCATAGAAGAACCTTTTTGTCTAAATGGTTCCATAAAGAACCTTTAACATCTGAAGAACCTTTCTGTTTCACAAAAGGTTCTTTGTGGCGAAATAAGCTTCTTCAGATTATAAAAAGGTAAGAAAGAGATGGTTCTTTAAAGAACTTTTGACTGAATAGTTCTTTGTGGAACCAAAAATGGTTCTTCTATGGCATCGCTTGAAGAACCTTTTGAAGCACCTTTATTTTTAAGAGTGTAGGTTGACTAAAAAACTAAAAAGGACATTTAAAACTGGACTAAGACTCAAAACAACAACACTAACGTGCACGAAAAGGGACAATTTTCAACAAATATTTCAATTTGAGTTTGTTTTTCACAAAAGTTATCAAATGACTACAGAAGAATATAGTGAATATAGCACATATGTATGGACTACTTTTAAGGTGCAGTTATTCTGTGAAATTTTGCCTGCAAAAAATTTCAATTTTCTAATTAGTGATGAAACGATAAAGACACAAGTCACATACCAAAAGCTTTTTTGTTTGATCAACGCTGCAAATCCACGTAACCAAGCTGAACCCACAGTGAAATCTGTGTAGAGAAAACTTTCACCCTCGTGCAAAATTACTATTGAAATAACTGGAATTTGCCAACGAAAATTTGTCGAACAACAATAAATGTGGAAAATGTTGTCATTTTTGAGGCTTGCTAACTACAGATTTGAAACAAATAATGACAGGCTCTTCACTTTAATGTGAACTATCTCTTAAAATCGAAAATTATGCCTACACCTCCCATCCTTCAACTGTCTAATTCAGTTGACCAGGTGAGGACTGAGCGAACTGGAGAATCTCTGCACAGGTAAAGATGAGTTTTGAGGCAGACGGATTGATCCCCAGAGTGTTGAACACATGTTCACACAGCCAGCGCGGTGGGGTTCCTGAGCACCTGTTCTCCCTCACACTGTTACTGATGAAGGTGCCCTAGCTCTGGAAGACATCCTGCATTGTTCTGCTGCCAAAGATTGGAAACCCCCGGTTCCCTGAGGACTGCAGACCAGTTGATCTCACTTCACACATTGAGAAGACCTCTGAGAAGCTGGTCCTTAGACAGACCACCTGGACCCAGGACAGTTTGTTAACCGCTGTTACGGTTCTGACCCTGAACTCTGGAGGCCGCAACCATTCACCATTAGCAAACCTACATATGCTGTACTATACTGGCTGTTCTGCACACTGCTATCAGACAAACACAAGAGCTCTGGTCCAAACCCTAGAGAGCTGCCATGCTGTCTACAGCCCATATGAAGGGTTCTTCACAAGGGATAGATCTGGAACAACCTACAAAGGCAGCAACTCCATATCAAGTGCAATTTTGAGAAATATCAAAAAATGTAGTACTTCAACTTATTTCAGTTAGTTGCCAAGGAAGCACTTCTAATTTTCCTTCTCTTCATCATGATATTTTATGATACAGCCCTAGTGAGAAGTACATTGCACCTTTACAATTCTTGAACCCAACTGCATTTCAGCGATTACATAAAACAGTTAATGCAGACTTCCACTCTTATGTTGTTTTTGCACAGTTAACTTATCGACCCATATTCCAGTAATACATACATAATCAGGAACGTCTCATTTCACTCCTGCAGTTTTACACTGAATGTTTCGGAGTACTCGCTTTTGATGTTGCTGTTATTTTGTATAAATTGAGTTTTCTTAATGAAATTACTTTGCAATAAATATGTTCCAAGAATTATGTTCTTAACTAACAGACACAAACAACATTTGCATTTTATCTGTCAGGTATGTTTCATTTGCAAGCGATTACAGAGCCAGTTACAAGACTGTTTGAGAAAGAGACTTGCTCGCTGAATGTCAGTATGCAACTTCATATATTCACTCACGATAAAAAACAAATTACAAATATTTCATGACATAATAATAGATCAAGCTGCTTAATGTTCTTTTGCTTTTAAGCCTGAAACTTGAATCTAGGTTTCATTTACATCCAGTCCTATAACAATGATAGTAATGTCCAATCCGGGAATCTCATTTTGTCATTTTGGCGAATGACAATCGATTGCCATCCGACAATTCTTTTGCACATTTGGATCAGAGGGAAAGAGAAGGAGAGCTTACACTGAGGGTGGATGGCTGATGGGGTGGGACTTTGGCAAGGCTCCCTCTTGAAATGTGAGAATTAGCATTTTTATTTGTTGATTTATTTAACGGACAGGCCTCTCAAACAGCCATCCATCAACGGACGACATTGCCGATATGAATAATGCATTTCTTACCGCCGGTCACAATCTATAACAAGGGAAGGGGTAGGTGTAGTTTTGGCGGGGGAGGGGGATGTTAGGGCGTTGGTAGGAGGAAATTGCCGGAGAGAATGCTAATGTGTTTGGCAGTCATATTTACCCAAATGCTTTCATTGCTTTTCACAAGGTCCACTGGTGAATGACCATGAGACATTAATATCACTTAAGAGGAGGTTTGCTAATCCCAAACGCTATCTGTTCACTCAACGGATCAGTAGGGGTTAGGAACAGAGTTCAAGATGCCTGAAATAGAAAAGCAGATGTGAGCGGAACGATGGCAGTAAGTAACCAGATTACTGAAGAGAAAAATACAATTAAATAGTGAATTCCTGAATTATTGAAAAGAGAAAATATATAAACAACTAATCAAATATTATTATTATTTTAAAAATGAATATATACTGTGTGTGTGTGTGTATATATATATATATATATACAGTGGTGTGAAAAGGTTTTTGCCCCCCTTACTGTTTTTTTATTTTTTTGCATATTTGTCACACTTTTAAGTGATTTCTTGATTCAACAGGTCTGGCAGTAATCAGGCCTGCGTGTAGCTAGTGAAATTTAACTCAGCTTTCTAAAATAATGTGGTTAATTGCAGTTCTTTCATGATTTAACAGGAGGGGGCAATTAATTTTTCATGTAGGGCCACGTAGTTTTGGACAGCTTTTTTCCCTTAATAAATGAAATCATCATTTAAAAACTGCATTTTGTATTTACTTGCATTATCGTTGTGTAATATCAAAATTAGTTTGATGATCTGAATCTTTTAAGTGTGACAAATACGCAAAAAATAAAAAAAACAGGAAGGGGGCAAAAACCTTTTCACACCACTGTATATATACTGTGTGTGTGTGTGTGTGTGTGTGTGTGTGTGTGTGTGTGTGTATATATATGCGCGATACTTTTTTGGAAATCATACAAAAGTATAAAGAATATACTAGAATCTCTACAGGTTAACTAATTTTGCAAACATGGGCATAAAAAAAACTCCTACTCACATCAATGAGAGCGAGGAGGAGTAAAATACAGAGAGAGGGTGAAAGACAGAGAAAGAATCAGGTTCTACTTCAATAATTCCAAACAAAAGACAGTTTATCAGTTTCCAGACTCCAGTTATTTTACTGCTCTCATTAAAAATGTCTGTCACGCCTGAGAGCCCAAACAAATTTGTAGCCCAAACAGTAATATAAAAAAATTCTAAAACGGCAAATACAGACAAAACTGCATGTCAATTTTCTTCCAAATCAATAGTAAGCTGAGGAGAAGCACAGGCCATGAACAGGAGCACTGACATTTCTCACTTCGGCTCTATCAAACCAGCCCTGAAAATTTTAATAAGATACACAATTTTAAACAAATTTCCTCTTCTAAAGTAAGAGAAGTTCACAAAAGACGGCCCAAGTCTGCACAGGTTAATTTAAAAAGGTGGAAGTTATTTGAAAGAAGGACGTGGTTTGATAAGTGTATTGTTTTGACGACTCTTACGGAGGTTGTGGAGTTTTATCAGTCTGACTGCATAATTCATCTCCTTCTCGTTCTGTGACACTTACAGTCCACTCTCCTGAGCGAGATCAACTCACACAAGATTTTTATATTTCTAAAGGGAAATGTGAGGAGCTTGCCATGCAAAACACATCACGACGATGGGGCTTTTTATATAATTATATATAAATATTAAATAAACATAAATCTTTTTAAATATTATTAAAAATAAATTGTTGTTTTTGGCATATTGTTACATAGTTGCTAAAGCATTGCTGTCTGGTTTCTATGGTGTTTACGGAGGATGCTGAACAGTGTCAAAAGAGCCCACCACAGTCTTTCTGAACTCTTTATTAATTTACATGTACAAGATTTTAAGTTTTATCACCCACCATATGAAAACCTTAAAGATCGAAAGTCTGGTTGCTAAGAAAATAATAACACGGACCTCTCCTCAATCATTCAACTCCACAAATGATGCGGGATGACAAACATGTTGAAGTTTAAAGTTCCAAATCATTACCACCAACTATTTATTAAAGATATAGTGACACTTGCTTTAACAAGAATTTGAAAGACAAGACCAATTTAAGTGTGTTACCATGCAAGAATCAGCATTGGAGTTCACACACCCCAAGGATACTGCCAATCAAAGAAAACTACCTATTTAAGATTGAGTGAAATGGTATGATCTATAGCAGACAGGAGATATTCATAATCATTTTCATTAACCTGAGCTTTTTTTTCTCAGGGCATTTTTTTTCCTTTAAGCAAACTTGTAGTAATAAAATGCTTGTCTATTGATTCATTGTGGGCTGACAGCTATAGGTTGTTCTTCAAAAGTGTGTCCATACAGCATCAGACCCATTAGACCCTGGACCAGACCTGAGGTTGTTCAGAAGACTGCTGGCATCCAACCTCTGGCTTCTTAAATAAATAAATAAACTATAAAATGACACACTTCATTGATTTCCTCAAATCAGGTTTGGTTTTGAATAATGCAAAGGTACCTTCCAGACAGTGGGCAACAATAAAATATTTATCTTACATACATAGACTTTCCACAGTGCTGGTTGGCATAAATGTGGTAATCTCAGAGTTCATGTTTGGTATTACTGGGACAAAGGAAGGTTTTCCATGATTCCAAATATGTCCTGTTAAATTAAAATATGAATTGCATGTCATATGTACAGATATTTGTGCTGTCAATGTAATTTATATTTATTATTTTCCTAGTTTAGAGACTCTAAATATTGATGTGTGATTTCTTAACCACGGCAAATCATTAATTCCTTCAATTAAAATCTTCTAATCGAATCAATTCACAGTCCTAAGAGAAATGTGTAAGTAAAAAAACTATTCCAATGGCTATTTTATCACGTATCTTTAACGTTAAAGCTGCTTGATGTCACAAATAAAGGTGAATCTGGAATGGCTACTTGAAATTCAACAGTTTGACTGTTCATTAAGAGAAACATCTCTGCCCTGGTCTTTAGTTCACATTTGGCCCTTCTCAAGTTCCCCGATACATATTATGCATACGCGAGTATTCAATTCCCTGTCAGTTCTGACATTCTCTTGGTATGCCTCCCACAAATATCATAGCTGCACACAAAGCAGCCTAATTTTCCCAGCCCCTGTAAAAGTTCTGGCTCGGTAATGAAACGTCTGAGACAGAAAAGAACATATTAATGCAAAATATTCACCACAACATATAACAGGGAGAAAAAAGGCAATTACTTCTGAAGTCAGTACATTTTCTCCTAGAAAAAAAGAGAAGAAATACGCCTTACAAACGACTTACAAATAAACTGCATTTTTCAGAGATGGCATGCTAAACGAGACATGCTCATGCTGTGGGGGTTGGGGGAGGGAAAAAAAAGACATGCTGTCACATTAATTACCTTTCTACGTTAAAAGAAAACGGTAATGAATTTCCTTCTCTATCCCAGAGTGTGTCTCGCGCTAGCGGTCAGTGATTCATTCTCTGCCTCACTCTTTCTCATTAAGCTGAGGGAGGCGCCGCGTTCTCGGCCCAGGCTGGAAGACTCGGTTCAATTACACCTGCTGCTGGGCCCTGCTATGCCAGCTAATGGGACTCAGCTTGGCTCCTGTCAGCCTCAGCGCTGGCCGGCAAAAATCTTCATTTAACTCATCAAACAGGCTTCGCACTGCGTTCGGCCCAGACCAGCTTCCTCTTTTTTTCCTCTTTCTTTGCTTCTTCTCCCTTTTTCCCTGTTTTATTCTGATTCCCCCATACATCACTGCTCCCACCCCTTCTCCTTTTTCACATGCATGCATTAAGAAGCTCTATCACAGAGACAGGGACCCCAAGAACACAATTAATACACAGGCTTGGCCCCCGCTGTGCTGTTGAGCCAAAATTGCTGTCATTTCCCTCTTTTCACTCCTTTCTGAATTGAACTTGTTAAATTGTATTTACTGGTATGGGTCTTTTCACTGAGTTTCCTGAGAGTGGCTTCTCTCAAGCACCATACCCCACCCATCTTTAAATTGCAACAGCAGCCTCTCTACAGAAATTGGTAGTTGACCGAACTGTCAAATGGCAAAATTAAATGTTTTGCTCAACTAAAAATATAGAAAGGGTGTGTAAAAACACATTGGTTGTGTTAGACGGCTGGGTGGGAACTAGACAGGATGAATTAGATGTGTGTATGAAGAAGCCCATCCATAGCAAGGGGAAAACACGAGTGGACCAAAGACAGAACCCTGAGGGACACCTCAACTCACCTGGAAGCCTTTGGAGTGCTAGGAAGTCCAAAAAGAGAAATTTGGGGAACAGCAGATGTCTGAAAGCTTTGTGGAACCACAGGAGAGGTGGCCATATCCTTCTTGGTAATGGAGATATCTGCAGGGAGAAAATTAGAGATGCTTGAAAGGATGTAAAGCAAATTTCCAATTAAAGATGTGAAGTAAAAAGGAATAACAGCAGAAAGGTATAACATATTCTGCATAATTTCTTGTGCATGTACCTTGTGAAATCTTGGGTGCAGACTGTTCAATACTTGATGTGTGTTGCTGTGACTGTACGTTACTTAACGAAGGTTGAACATTTCCCTGCAAAGTGTGTGACTCTCCTTTTATTTCACTTCTGAATAACAGAGAGATAGAAAGAGGGAGAGAGAGCAAAGATATTGGTCAACACTACTGTTTAAAAGTTTGGTGTTGCTCACCAAGGCTATATTTAATTAATACAGTAAAATTCTGAAATATTAAATCACAATTTAAAGTAACTTTTCTATTTTTATATTATTTAAAATATAATTTATTCCTGTAATGGAAAAGCTGAATTTTCAGCAGCTATTACTCCAGTCTGCATGATCCTTGAGAAATAATTTTAATATGCTGATTTTGGTGCTCAAGAAACATTTCATGATGCTGAAAACTGTTCATTCTTAATTAATTTCCTTAATTTTTTATGAAAATCATGCATTTTTTCAGGATACGTTCATGAACAGCAAGTTCAATTGAACATATTTTGTAACATTATAAATGGATTTACTGTCAGTTTTGATCAAGTTAATGCACCCTTGCTCCATAAAAGTATTAATAAAAGCTGCAGTCCATTAAGTTTTGCCTCTTTGTCGCCATCTCTGTTTGAAAACCTGCAATTGGAGCTGTTTGCGGAATTATCTTCCTAGCGTGGGTTGTGCACCGGCACGGCTCCAGCGTGAATGAATCTAATGTGTGGCTGTCAGTCACCGCACTGGTGTGGATACTGCACTTTGTATTCACAGATTCTACATCTTCAAAGTATGACCCAAATAAGAGATTTCACTGGAGAATGTCATCTGAAAAAGTAAGTAAAAACTGTCACTTTTGTTCTGATCAACTGAAAAAGCATTACAATAAATTGTGCTATCAATGGTGATTAAATCTATTGATCGGTTAGCTCATATCACATCAAACCGTGACTAATTATTATTATTGTTATACTTTGTTTTCAAATTGTTGACGTTAATAACATTAGCATTGTGTGAGTGCGTGCGTGTATTTAGTGTGTATTAGCTTTACCTGTAGATTTCAATTTCTGTACAGTCTAATACCATACCATTCGAATTTCATATAAAGAAATTGTTCTTGTAACCCAAAAAGCAAATTAAAGTACCTTACAACTCGTTCTCTATTAAATAAATCTTTTATCATAATGAACATAGCGAGATGAGAAAAAAAGCACAACATAAGAAACTCCATAACTGTATTAAGTGAACAAGTGCTACAGTTACCTAATTACACAATGAACCATTGAAATGTCTTACCTGTCCAGCAGAAAAAAAGCCGTCTGCATCAGTTTTAAACCCCTTCAAAACACAGAGTTCACACCACCTTTCAAAAGCCCTGCCGATATTTATTCTTGTTTTAGCAATGGCCCGGTCGCATTCTCTTTTTTTCTGTAGCCACTTCTCAGTACTAATTATTTTGGTTTTGACTAAGGGGTGAATCTCCAGTCACTGATGATTGTCGTTTCGACCTTTCTGGATTACAATTCGCCATTTATTCCAGCTGCTGTGAGAAAAGGCTATAAACGATCCGTCACCTGCAGCATCCTCACGTGCAATATAGCAGACTAGCTGGGACAAATTCTTTATGTTTACAGACGTGATGTAATGACGCAGCGTTACGCTTGAATTTCCCGTGAAAACCTACCCGTACCACTCAAATTAGAGAACTTTATTACAAGCTTACCGTTGTGAATCGAGGTAAAGTAAGGCGATAAGTTTGAACACTGGCTGGTCCATGTACTTGCTCAAAAATTGATTTTGGATAATTTTCAACCAAAAAAAGTTACAGACTGCAGCTTTAAAAAACAAATCATACAGAACCTAAATTTGAATCATAGAGTATACTTGAATATTACTTTTATTTATTTATTTATTCATCTCTCCAGCCCTTTTCTGCATTCAATGCAATTTTGAAAACAAGCTTCACCTGTGTGTCAACTGATCCATTACAAAACTGGATTGTTGACCCTCATTAAAACTGCGGTCTCCATTTAGAGGTCTCTCAAAGTCTGTTGTGGTTGCTTGCTGAAGCCTTCAAAAGAGACAAATTAAATCAATGTTCATGGTTCAATTCAAGTTAGGCTGCGTTGGTTACTATCAAAAACAGTTGAACTTATCCCTCATGGTTACAGCACACTAAACTGAAATACTTTATAGGTGCATGAATTTTCTCTATTTTAAATCAAACAATGCATTAAAAAAATGCTAATAATATTTAAACATATGGTTTGTGCCAGACTCTTACTTGTTGTACTGAAGGTATGACTGGCGGAGTTGCTTGTTCTGGAGCAAAAGTTTCTCTTCCTGTTGAGCCAACCGAGCTTGAATTCTCTCCCTCTCCATCTCCAGCTGTTTCTTCTGCAGGAGCAGACATCGTCGTTTCTCTTCCCAGTTCTTCCGACCAGACAGTGGTGCTATTCCAGTTCGATTAGCACCACACATGCCATCATTTTCCATTCTGTGGCACTGATGAGAGCACTTGGGTTCAGAGGTGCCATGCAGCCTCAGGGCATTACAGGCTGAGGGTTCCCTGTTGGAGAAGCCAAGATCACTACGTCCACCTTCAGAATTGTGATTGGTGTGCCTGTCATGGATTTCACAGTTCTGGTCACTGCTGGAGGGTGCACTGAACGGTCCCGTTGAGAATGAATGAGTGCACTCCACTGACCCACCTCTATCAGTTTTGCTTCCTGATGAAGGGAGGTCCAAGTAAGATCCATCTAAAGCAGTTCCTCTTCCACCCCAAGACCTCCTGGCCACCCCCGGGTGAATCTCCAGTCACTGATGATTGTCGTTTCGACCTTTCTGGATTACAATTCGCCATTTATTCCAGCTGCTGTGAGAAAAGGCTATAAACGATCCGTCACCTGCAGCATCCTCACGTGCAATATAGCAGACTAGCTGGGACAAATTCTTTATGTTTACAGACGTGATGTAATGACGCAGCGTTACGCTTGAATTTCCCGTGAAAACCTACCCGTACCACTCAAATTAGAGAACTTTATTACAAGCTTACCGTTGTGAATCGAGGTAAAGTAAGGCGATAAGTTTGAACACTGGCTGGTCCATGTACTTGCTCAAAAATTGATTTTGGATAATTTTCAACCAAAAAAAGTTACAGACTGCAGCTTTAAAAAACAAATCATACAGAACCTAAATTTGAATCATAGAGTATACTTGAATATTACTTTTATTTATTTATTTATTCATCTCTCCAGCCCTTTTCTGCATTCAATGCAATTTTGAAAACAAGCTTCACCTGTGTGTCAACTGATCCATTACAAAACTGGATTGTTGACCCTCATTAAAACTGCGGTCTCCATTTAGAGGTCTCTCAAAGTCTGTTGTGGTTGCTTGCTGAAGCCTTCAAAAGAGACAAATTAAATCAATGTTCATGGTTCAATTCAAGTTAGGCTGCGTTGGTTACTATCAAAAACAGTTGAACTTATCCCTCATGGTTACAGCACACTAAACTGAAATACTTTATAGGTGCATGAATTTTCTCTATTTTAAATCAAACAATGCATTAAAAAAATGCTAATAATATTTAAACATATGGTTTGTGCCAGACTCTTACTTGTTGTACTGAAGGTATGACTGGCGGAGTTGCTTGTTCTGGAGCAAAAGTTTCTCTTCCTGTTGAGCCAACCGAGCTTGAATTCTCTCCCTCTCCATCTCCAGCTGTTTCTTCTGCAGGAGCAGACATCGTCGTTTCTCTTCCCAGTTCTTCCGACCAGACAGTGGTGCTATTCCAGTTCGATTAGCACCACACATGCCATCATTTTCCATTCTGTGGCACTGATGAGAGCACTTGGGTTCAGAGGTGCCATGCAGCCTCAGGGCATTACAGGCTGAGGGTTCCCTGTTGGAGAAGCCAAGATCACTACGTCCACCTTCAGAATTGTGATTGGTGTGCCTGTCATGGATTTCACAGTTCTGGTCACTGCTGGAGGGTGCACTGAACGGTCCCGTTGAGAATGAATGAGTGCACTCCACTGACCCACCTCTATCAGTTTTGCTTCCTGATGAAGGGAGGTCCAAGTAAGATCCATCTAAAGCAGTTCCTCTTCCACCCCAAGACCTCCTGGCCACCCCCTCGCTGCTAGGAATCTGTGGGACAGGGCATAGGTACAAAAAGTATACACGTCAACTCTGACCATTTAATAATGTGGCCACAAAGGCAGGTTTTACTCAAGGGAGTCAGAAAGGGTGGGCTCATCCGAAGAGAACACAACAACCCAAGGTCAATCACCAAAGAGATAAACATTCAGGACAAAGGAGAATCTTCCGCCTCTCAGGGGACAGAAATGGGCCGCTGACTAATTCAAGAGGTTGCGGAGCATGTAAACATACATTACTAACAGCCAAGGTTTCAGAGAGGACAAGCTCATTTTCCTTATACAAGCTTAAGATGGAGGGTGCACGGTCCAAACTAAAACAGCATGTGAGTTTTTTAGTGTCAGTGAGTTTTCTTGTTTTAGCTTTAATATTTTTAGCGACAGTGCTTTGAAGGGGATGAATTTGGAGATGGAACCTCTCTGAGAGGGTTTTAGTGTGCTGACAGGTTAACAGTTATAGATGCTAAAGTGTCAGCATGCCAAAACCCCTCTCTGAGAGGCTGCTTCTCTAAATCCATCCCCTTTAAAAGCACCACCGCTAGAGCCATCAAAACAGCGCTTTTGTAACAAATTCACCTTCAACACATTTTAAGGCAATTACTGTTGGACTTCAAATTGCCTGCTGTGAGCAACAAACCGTTGTTATGAATAATCCAGAGATCTATGATAGTTTTGAGCAATAAAAGGAGCTGGATATTTAGGCTTTTTATTTGTTGAATATCTGATCATTACCCTGTTCAGACAAGATAGGTCACTGACTCACTGGTTGTCATGAAAGATTTGCATGACAGATTTGTGTGTAGTTATGAGTCTGCCGGTTGATTGGCTGATTAATAATAAAAAAATAAATAAGTAAATAACAAAAAGCATAAACTTTGAACAGGGTATTAAACTAAGAGTCGTTTTTTATATTGCTAGACAATTGGTGGTTTCCCCTAGATTTGGAGTGCTTTTTATTCAGATTCAGGCCAGGCACTTTTTTGAATGCAATTCACTTATCATTTCTTAATAAATTTCTTTATGTATTTTTCTTCAGGAAAATTGAGAATTGGTATGAACAGTTCAGTTGCAAAAATGGTTCCAGTTATATGTGTAAAGATATATTTTTTTTTAAATGTTCTGCCAGAGCAATGAATTCAGCCGATGTCCAAACAACTTCAGATAGATAAAATTAAACTGCAGCATTCATTTTTCTTTTTCAAATATTCTCTTTCAATTTGAAATGTCATATTACAGATGTAAAATGAGTTATGAATGCCATTTAATGTTTCAGGCAACCTTGGTGGTCTCATCTCTCTATTTGACCATGTGAAAGACAGAGGGACAAATACAAAAAAAATAGGTACCTGTAGCTGGGAAAATGACATAAGCGTAATCTAATTTAGGGAATTACTGGTAAACTTGCAACAGCCTGCAGTGAGTTACCATTATACATGTTCAAGGTCAATACTATACATATCTACAGTTTATGTGTGTGTGTGTGTGTATATATATATATATATATATTTATATAAATTAATTAAGTTATATATACAGAATAGTTAATTTTAGCAAATATTAAAAACTCAAAACAAACAAATATCACCGGTCACCTGATAAACTGGTTGGTCTGCCAGGATATTAAGTTAGTGGGGCAAACAAATTTATTTCTTCCTGTTATGGTTATACAAAGCCATGACTGATCAGCCAAAATTTTAACATAGCATAGAGGATACAAATTCAGTGCACGCACATGTTCAATCTGGGCCATTCCTGGCTTTTCTCTATCGCTCTCTCCCACACACAGGCACATTCTCTTTTAGTACTCACCTTGCTGTGGGAGCAGGACTGATTGAGTAGGGTGATAGACTTGTTGAGTTTCTCTTGCTGTTGGGAGAGGTATTGCTGATAGAGTCCCAGCAGTTCCTGACACTCTCCGTACTGCTGCTGCAGGCCTGTGCCGCGGGTCAAGGGTCAACACGCACTGAATAACTCTGCCGCTTTTCCCACTTAAACTAAAACTCTCTCCCCTCCCAAGCCAGACATGGTAATCCATTTCCCCCACTGTAGTGTTGCCAACCTAATGCCGAGTAGGCAGGAGCCTTTATACAGAAGGTACAAAATGAAAGAACCTCCCTCAGAGTAGTGCCCCAAGGGTAACCAGTAACAGCAAAAGCAAGCTTTATGTCGAGTTAAATACTCAAATATTTTTTTAAATGCCCAAAGCTGATGTTATCAAGCTAAGAGGCAAAACCAATAACATTTCAAGATGCTTTCTTGGACTATATCAGTGGTTGAATGATTTCTGTGGTCTGTGAGTTGACTGGAGGCTTAAAAAATAAATAAAATATTAAAATAAAAAATAAAAAGAGTGGTCTGTGAGTCAGTTGAGTGATTAAAAAAAACTGGGTGACTGAAAAAAAATAAATAAATAAAAATATAAAACGTAATTTGTACAGTACTTAAAACCGCATGTTATTATTCTGAGAAAGTTGGTGGTTTCCCTAATTTGGGGTGTTATTCAGATGGCTAGGCAAATTTGTTTAGACACAATTCATTTCTAACTTTTTTCAGAGAAGGCCTAAAACAACATCAGAATTGGTATCATGCAGTTTTGGTGAGGAAAAAAAAGCAGTTCAAATTAAATTATATAATTGACAAAAAAAAAAGTACCAACACTGAATATGGTATAAAACCACAGTAATTCATGTAAAAATACAGGCTATTATTTAGAAAAAAAAAATGGTGGTTTTTTTTTTTTTTTAGATTGGGGAGTGTTTTTTTGGTGGGTCAGGCAAAAACGTTTTTTTCAGAAAACGCAGAAAAATCAGAATTGGTATCACAAAGCTTTGGTGAAAACCAAGACAAAATAAAACCAAATACAACTGGACAGGTACAATCTAAACTTCCTAAAATAAAAATTTCAATTGAATAATTTAGTGTGTAACAGGAAAAGAACTGGCATTCAAAATTTCTTCCACTGAGAGCTCGGTTGCCCAGTGTCCTTATATCAAAAAGAGGAGGAGACCGGTTGGACTTCTTCTCTGGCTCCTGACATCTGAGTCTCTCTGGCTAAATCCCAGCCGCCAATACCTGGAGTCATGTTTGTGACTTTCTGAAAAAGTGCACAGACAGAGAAGAAAGCGAGAAGAGACAGCAGCACTGCTGAGAAGAGATAGAAGTGTTTCTTCGGGGCGAGGGCTTCACTCACTCCTCCATCTGGGTCTGGCTGGGCAGGATGCCAGGCTGTAAGATAGAGAGAGCTTGCATATAGAACTCAACAGATCTGGAGCAGAACCACAGCCATGGCGACTGCGCCGACTAATGACAGCGTGACATACGCTCGCTTACTCTCACACGCTCTGCAGAAATCCATTCGGTAGATCTAATTTTCCAACGTGGAAAGCAATAATGGAAAGCGACTTTTTTTTTTGCTCTTTCTTCTTAATAATCAGCCTGGCTGTAGAGCACAACCTCTCAGCGATCATCATAATACCTCAAGGCCCAGGAACTCAAGAGGGGCAACACAGATCAAACCGACTGAAAGTTAGAACGTTATAGAGATTATTTATAGTCCTCATATCTCCGTTATTACAATGTCAATATGCACTAAATCCAGCCTCTGCTCAACAGCCTCTCAATCCAATACACATAAGATAAGCGTGGTAAATCTTACCTTAAAACAAAGGCTAGTATTAATCTCCAGAATACTGCACAAAGAAAATGGAACTTCACAAACACAAAATTAACCCACAAGAGGCCAAGTGCTAGTGATTTTTACCATGGAAGAAGCAGGTTGTCAATATGAAGAGGTATAATCACAGTGGCTTCCTGGTTTAAGAAATAACCAGGGCACTAATGTCCAATAAATAATTTAAGTAATATAGTTTTTGTGTAATAATCTCCTCACAGTTGCCAATCAATATGATGCAAACCCTTCAGTTTGTTTTGTTGCATGTTATAGCTTGCATCTTAAATTGGTAACATTTTGCTAAATTACATACTACATTCAGTATTCACACATACATCTGAATTTGTAATATAAAAAAATAATTGACTGATACCACTGATTCAATGCTGTCAATTTAAATGAGAAGCAAGTCTGTAATTACAATTAGCCATACAATTACTATGAATGATTAACTCTGTGTTAATGTTCAGTTTCAAATTATTGAAGTATTAAATACATCCGACTATAAAAACTTAAGTTAAGAGCCAAGAGAGTGAGTGGTTCTTATATCCCCCAATTACAAGTTTCATATGGTAATTAGAACTGCAATATAAAGGCCTCTGGTGAATCAAATTTGCAAATTCCATCTGTTTTTGTTTTACCCTAATATTGGTTATTGAAGCAGAATAAAGCTGCTTCTGGGCTCAAAACATTATAAATACTAAAAACTGCATAAAAACAGTTCTTTTTTCTAAACAGTTTCTAAGTGCAATATTTCACAATTCCACAGTCTTTAATGCATTTTGACTAAATAAATGCAGCCTTGTTGAGCAGAAGAGTCTTCTTTCAAAAACACAAAAAAATCTTAGAAGCCCAAACTTTTAAATGGTAATGTACATACGCAACCCATGTAAGGTCAGGTCATTGTTCTGTTCATCAATTTGCACTGGCTACCAATAGCTAGGGCTGGGCGGTATATCGAGTTTGTGCGATATATCGATATTTTCTTTATAAGTGATTCGATATGAGGCAATACAGTTTATATCGAAATACAGTAGTTTGATACGAGCGCATCTGAAAATATAGCGGAGGACACAGACTGAGCTGCTGCAGTGAAAGGGCATGATCCAATTTGTTCTAAACATGTGACAAGCTTTATATTAAGGCCTTTAAAAACTGGTAAGACATAGTTTATAGTTTCGTTTCGCATATTAGTTTAAGCGGCTCGCCCCATAAGATGCTCTGACAGAAAGGCTGCGTGTGCCGCTGACAGAGACGCTAGGCTGTTTAATGTGTTTGAGATGTGCTGTCTTCCTGAATGCATAACTTACATTTCACAGGTATATTCTCCATCTGTAAATGTTAGAAAGCCATGGAAATATTTCCATTTTTCTGTCAGAAGTGCATGAGCCTTCTGCTTTGGGATTCTCCGCTAGACTTCAGTGAACGAGTGCCGCCGCACGCATGCACGCCAAACAGACAGAGCTCAATTAAATAGGAGTGCAATAATTCTGACAAAAATATACATTTCGCTGAAATATTTGTAGTTGGACAATAAATGTGACAATTAGAATTTTATACCTACAAGTAAGATTATTTTTATGAGAGCACTGTCTGTAAAGTGACTGTATTGGGGTAATCAAAATAGCCTAACACAACTCTGTGCTTTTGTT